GTTAATCCAAAATATTCTTTATTTTGTGTTTTAATCGAGTTTTGTTATATCATAGTGATGAACCCACAAGTCTGCACATCCCCTCAACTCTATGCAGCATTTTTATACTAACTTTTTGTTTTGTTTTGTTTATAAGAGAATTTTTTTGGAGCTTAATGTATTTGACAGGATGGAGGGCTGGGCTGTCACATATATATGGACTTAAAATGTGAAGATGTCAAAAAAACACCTGCCTGACCTGCACAGGTGCCTCTGGATGCACCGCCACTAATAAATAGGAGCATCTGTCGCTCGGCTCGGGTCAAAGACCAATTCCTCTCAGCTCAGCTGGAGCCGGGTTCTCTCCCGCCTGCATAATATTTGAGCAGTAATGAATCTGTGTTGATTCAACCTCTGGCCCACCCACACGCATGCCACAATGGCTCTAATCTGATTTTCCTCCTCCCCTGTGTTCCAGCTCTGTTTCCGTCTGCGTACAGAATAAAGCGTGAGACGTACTCGCTGATCAACCCCACGTTCCAGCGCTCGGTGGACGACGTCAACCTGCTTTTTGAGGTCGGTTTGGATCCTGTGGGTTAAATGACTTTGGTTCTTCGCAGGAAGCTCGTTTGAATATGTAGTGAAGCGTCCAAATCACACACGTGTGGTCCACACTCTTCGGAAGATAATTGGAACAGGACACAATAAAAAGAGTTAGTGGAGGAACATTTAGTTTTTTTCCGTTTCGCATTTGCGTAAAGTCGAACAGTCAGAAAAGTCTGGCACAATGTCTGGAATAAAGTAGAACTACATTCATTTTTTATTCAGCATATTGAGAATAAATAAAGTCAAAATATCAAAAAAGGTTGAAATGATGAAAAAATATGAACAAAATTTAAACATTAGGAAATAAAGTTCAAATTTCAAGATTAAAGTCAACATTTTAAAGATATGTCAAACGAACTTGTTCTTCAAAGTCCGTAAAGAAATCCTGTGCTTACAATTTAAATTCAGTGGTGATCAGAGATTGAGCCGAAAGCCACAAAGAATCCACACGAGCTCTGAAAGACGAAACGCTGGCATCTCCACATTTCAACTTAATTCTTGCAACTTTTCCTCTCATTTAGTTTTACTTGAACATTTTTCATTCTCAATATGCAAAAGGGAAAAAAAATCATTCTCTTAACGTTCAGCAGCTGAAAGCTCCTGTCAGACAAAGAGGAGAATGAAAACACTGTGTGCACATGCTAATCATTAGCACAAATGTGAAATATGTGTTTACTCCGTCTTCCTGGCATTGAAGTATTTATTAATATCCTGGTGTCACAAGTAGGTGAAGCAGTTCTTTGGTATCAGTGTGTACGTCTGCACAAAGCGTTTCTGTGTTTGTAAATGTAAATGTCTCATATCTCCCAGATCCTGCTCGCTGGGATGCAGATAGAAGCTGAAGACAACACCATGCTGATCCCAGATGAGGAGCTGGCTTCCCTGAGGTCCGTGGAAAAGCTGGATGTCATCTGCGAGGACGTCCTGCCCAAGAGGCTCTCCGACATCCGGCGTCTGACAGCAGAGCTGGCCGGGCGCCGGCAGCGTCTGAGCTGGCAGGAGTTCGAGAGGACGGTGCTGACCCTGGTGTACGCCGCCCAGACGCTGGCTGGATCCAGCAGCACGCAGCAGAGGGAGGCCTGGACGGACGCAGTGATCCAGCTGTTCAGAGCCCTTCAGAGAGACCTCACTCCCTCCTGAGGTAGAACGAGAAGATGTACAATTCATTCTCGTGCTCATGTGTGTAATTATCATCGCCTGACTGTAAACATTATGTACTTTTACACTTCTTAGCTCTACGTCATCTTACTCACTTACAACACAACGTTTGCAAAAGCCAGTTAGAGATTTGAACGAATTTAAAATAATCCATTTTCATGCTTAACAGAACAATAAACTTTACTGTTTCTAACAGGAAATGGTGCCGTGTATGAAGTTTAACACTGAAATGCAGCTGTGCATTAAACTTCACTACTTCCAGAGCTTGGAACATTTAATCTGATTAATGAAATTAGCAATTTTGTGTTTTCATTTCCTTTGTGTGTTTGGGATAATTGTGTCCACCAACGCGTGTCACAAGAATTTTAAATGTCTACAGGTTAAAAATAATTTGATTTAATGGCCATTTCAGTTGTAACTGTTTATATAAACGTTACGAGGAGGTTATGTGTTGTTGGAGGGTTTGTTTGTTTGTCACAGCGATTACACAAAAACCGATCAACCGATTTTTCCACATAACTTGAGAGAAGGATCATGATCTAGGGCCAATGAAAGAACTAATTACATCTTGGCGTGGATCTGGACAAAATGCACGATTTTATTTATTTTCCAGGGATGATGATGGAAAAAAAAGACGTATTTTGAGAACTGATATCTGAGCGTGTGCCATTCGGTGCAGCTTGGTTGAATTTAAGGGGCGTTGGCGGAGGTCTGCGCTCCTCTGAGTGTCACTGCAGATCCTCCACTGCTGCCTGTGCACAGTCGATGCCTTTTTCTATGTGTGTGAATCACAACTCGGTTCATTTGATCTTCCAGTAAAAACCCTTTGAATGAATCCCACAGATTTGCACTGAGGAGTGTGTGTGTACATCAGTACGTCTGATTGCTCATTTCACAGTAAATCACAGTAAACTGTAGGAGGTTTGCTTCACAGCTGCCACTCTCATGTTGGGAAGTAGCTACTTGCTGTAATAGGCTTCTGTGCAGCTGGAGCAGATAGAAAGTAAACGCCTGGTTGCTCTGGTTTCACAATTCCATCACAGCTTTGGACAGAATGGTCCCTCTGTGTTATCTTGCAGGATTTTCTGTCTCTTTTGTCGCCCGTGTTTCGTCTGCGCTGACTCAGGAGGTCTGATTGATGAGGGGGAGAAAACTGTGGTGCACGAATTTCCTTCCAAGACAGGGGATAGGCCTTCAGTCCGTGCACCGCTCTAACGATGATGATGATGAGGTCTGGGATGTTTCTGGCCTCCACTTGACAGAGCGTGAAAGAAGTGGGGATATTGAGAGAAAGGGAAAGTGTAGAGCTCAGGATTTTTATTCCCGGTGTCGAGTTTGACAGCAGCGAGTTTCATTAAAGCGTTCCCACATTTCAAACCTCGGTTTTCTCATCTTGTTGTGTGGGTGTTTGCTTCTGGTAAAAAGCACAATAGTCCTGAAAAAACCCAGCTTGCTGTAGATGAGTGTCTTTGCAGAACTATTCATTAAATTCTCCTCTGTGCCCAAACTGAATATGTTAAATATGAGTGACTCACTGTCTCTTTTTTGCAACAACTTAATCCTGTTAAAAACTTTCACAACGACTCCCTTACTGCTCTCCTCCTCCGCTCAGATCGCGGTGCAGATTTAATAAGAGGGATGAGGCTTTACTCTGCGTTACTGACTTATCAGTGTCCTTTATGATGAATGAGTTTCTAATATTCTATCCACTGAGTGTGTTATCCCTAAATGTCACACACATGCACTGGGCAGCAGGAAGCATGTTGAGAGAGCGGCACCAAGTGGCTGCAGAGGGAAGTGCCGTCTCGTGGGTTCTCATGTCCTTAATATAACTTTGTCGTCTGATATCCAATATGTTTCTGCCCATTTGTGATGTTAATGTAAGATTAGATGATACGTTCTCTGCAGATTAGGACATAATATCATGGATGGATGGATTTAATATCATGTGCTGAGATAAACACTGTCCTGACCCAAAAGATGGAGGAGATAAAGAAGTGCTCACTCATGAATCTTTGTGTAGTTTCAATCAGGAAAACTTTCTCCACACCCCCGTCATTCTCCCCCTCTCTCCCCGACTCATCCAATCAGCTGACTGTCGGGGGTATAATCCAATTACATTTTGTCTCGAGCTCCATCAGCCTATCGAGGCCGTTGCTGTCAACCTCTTAAAAATCTGGCCCCTCTCCCAGGCCCCCGGTCAAAGAACATGAAGATGGAACACAACCTTCTCCTCTCTCTCGCTGACAGTCGACCCCACTCCCCCACACTCTCCCCCTCCAGAGCCCTGGTCGAGCCCAGCCGAGGCAGCTCGTCTCCTCTCGGTCCGATCCTCAACATTCTCCACATCCCTTCATCCACCACCGGTGTCTCGACCCCAGGGAGTTTCCTAACAGCCTGTTTCCACCCTGTTGACTTCATAAAGGCTCCAAGCACCAAACAGACTTGTTTGTATTGTGACGGCCCCGGAGCCTTGGTCCTGTGCACTGTGCTGAAGCCCACCCACCCCAGGGGGCTCGATCTCTTCACTCTGCACCCAGCCCATGTGCTGTTTCTCCCCTGTGTTGATTCTCCTTGTTTAACATGCACACAGTGATCAATCCCTCACGACCACATCTCGCTTTAATCATTGTGATCTAATCGTACACATTTCTGAAGCCGAGGTCTGTGAACGCCTCCCTCCTCGGTCACATCACTTCACTTTCATCTCTCGTTTTGCACGCCGACACATTTTTCCACTAAAGTCTCATCTGATTTGAAATGAAGATAAAGTGAAGATAAAGACAATGATTTGTAGCAGCAGCAGTTTTGTTCCCAGACACAAAGAACATAAAACTGCAACAAACACATTTATCAGAAATAAAACCATAACTTGTTTCATTACGCTGCAAATAAAAGTCTCATCAAATGAGCTTGTAAATTCTCCTTTTCCTTTTTAACAGTGACATGAACAGCCCTTCAATTATTATGTAATGAGCCATAAAACCTTCAATAGACTTCACCTTCATCCTTTATCATAATAAAAACCACACAGAGATCATTAATGCTGCCTGAACAATATATTCACAATTTAGCATCTTTATTTAACTTCTGTCACATCTACGTGGATATGTTTGATTGTAATCTCGACATCCCCACTAGGTGGCAGCATATCCAAATCTGACTGGATCCTCACTCATGGTTGAGGTCATGATTTTGACTTCAGTTGAGGTTCTGTGCAGATTTAATGAGGAAGACAGAATCAAAATGGACGTAATGTGCACATGTATAATATCCTTCTCATACTCTTCCTCCTCCATGTTGTGCTTGTGTGGAAGCTGTACAGCTTCATTCAAAGCTCTTGTGCTCGTTACAATATTATATTTTTTGCAGCCACAAGACATGAAGAGCAGCGCTGTGTTTTTTTTCCCTCTTTGATTTCTCCTCCTCTTGTTCTGCAGGAGTGTTTTATTTTTTTTACGGTGGCTTAATTGGAGCTGAATCTTGTCAGCGCTGGAATGTGTCTCCTGGTGGAAATATTTTGTGATCACCTCCAGCTGAACACGCAGTTGTTTTAACTCAAGCTTATCAGCTGCATATGTTTTCTCCCCCAGCAGCTGTCAGACATATTTTCACGCCTCATATCTTTCTCTGCTCGCCGAACGGGACCGACGAGCCGCGGCAGCACGTCGCTAACATACACACTCACGACTTTTTCTGCGCCAAATCAAACAACTCGGTCCCTTCTAACCACGTGTTTCACAAATGGCCGCACGGCAACCTGCCATAATAAAACTTCTGAAAGATCCACTGGGTTTTTTTTTTTTTGTCCTCTCTTTCTGCCCGGTCAGATGATTTAAAGTAAAACTTAGAGTCGGCTTCTCGGATGTTTTGAGAAAATAATTCAAGATCTTGATCTCAGACATCAAACACTGCAGCCACACCATTAAAAACATTCCACTGGCAAAAAATAATTCCGCAAAAAGCCCGAACAGGGCAGAGTCCAAGCTTTGAAGATCCTCGGACACAATGTGTTCATGTGGAAAATGTACTTTTCATGAGCAAACAGGACGAAGACTGTGACTTTAGATGAAAGATGTTTTAGAAGATGATGTACGAGCTGCAGCCGGTGATGAGAGGGGGATTTTGCATCTTTCTTCAGTGCAAAAAGCAACACAATGTTATTTTCACTGAGCAACAGCGCCCTCTGCAGCCAGACACAGTGGTTCGTTCTGTTAACACTGGAGATCGAACCCACTCACCAAAGTTACATAGAGCAATAACAGGGCGAAGAGGAAACATTCTCCAAACTCACAGTCACTGAACCATCAAACTCATCTTAATGAAGCTGCTGTTTTAGGGTTGAAGCGCTGCGTAGTGTTGCTTTAAGTGTCACCACCTTGTATGGTCGGGATGTAGATTCATATAAAACCATCATACAAGCAGAATAGCAGCTCATCAGTTGAAAACACGAGCCTACATCACGACCATGTTGTTTTAATGTGGCTAATGCAGCTGTTTAATATTCACTGAGTGAAGCAGAGAGGTGAGCTGCAGAGAGGAGGGACAGACGGGTGGATGGAGGTGGGATGCATTTTTTTGTGATGGACACGTACACGTCGTGGACGAGGGCGGGGTCCTGGTGAAATCAGCCTCCGGCTCTCCGGCTCTCCGGCTTCCAAACATCAACTCAGTGTTTCACAAGAAGAAAATCCCAACAGCTGGGACATTCAGTCAGAGGTATGAGTGAGACAGTGTTGTGTGGATTGTTGTTAATCTCCTGTTTATTTATCTCACACAAGTGAAGCCAACAGTTCCCACAACAATCCCAGCTCTGAGATACTTTCCCACCGGAATAGATTTGCAGGGAATAACGTCTTTTGATAAGGTCGCTGGGAGAAAATTGGCCCGAGCCGTGGGCTGCACACTCATGCTCCCGTACCCTCCTGGAGGCTTATCGCACATTGTTATGAGGAGGTGCATGATTCACATGGGAGTTGTGGTATGCCGAGGTTTCAACACTCGTCTCCCCAGGTCTCTAATTTGATTTGGCTTGGTTCAGTGCAGCCACAGGTGGAACGTCCCCCGACGGAGCCTGAAAGCCTGAGAATGACGGCGTGCGAGTGATTGATAACGCTGCCGTGTGAAGAGCACGTCCTCTGTGAGATTAAATCATTGTATTATTTCACCTACTCTCTAAACATCTTTTACATTCACAGGGTGAAACTTAAACATATTTTCTGTCTGCGTGAGGATTTTAAAGGTTTTAAATCAAAAATACATT